GCGTGGCTTAGACGGAGATGACCTCGGGCCGCTTGTTGAGGACGGAGCCCGTGTACTTCTCGAGGAGCACGTCGAGCTCGACGCCGTCGATGGTCTCCTTCTCGAGGAGGGCGTCGACGGTCGCGTCCATGAGCGCGCGGTTCTCGCCGAGCGCCTTCTTGCAGACCTCGTAGGCGTCGGCGACGAGCTTCGACACCTCCGTGTCGATGGTGCTCTCCGTCTCCTCGGACGCGGCCGTCGACGCGGAGAACATGCCGCCGGACTCCGCCGGCTCCCAGGCCGTGGGGGACAGCGCGTCCTTGGAGAAGCCCCACTGCGCGACCATGCGGCGCGCGATGTTGCGGACCTGCTGGAGGTCGTTCGACGCGCCCGTCGTGACCTCGTCGTCGCCGTAGACGAGCTCCTCGGCGACGCGGCCGCCGAGGGCGACGGCGAGCTGGCCCTTGAGGAACTTGTAGGAGTAGAGGCCGCTCTCCATGCGCTCCTCGGACGGCGTGAAGAGCGTGAAGCCGCCCGCGCCGTTCGACCGGGGGATGATCGTGAGCTTGGCGACGGTGTCGTAGCCCTCCGTGAGCGCGGCCATGATGGCGTGGCCCGCCTCGTGGTAGGCGACGAGGCGCTGGCGCGACGGGTTGTTCATGCCCGTCGTCTTGGCGAGGCCCACCGTGAGGCGGTCGATCGCGTAGTCGATCTCGGAGAAGGAGATGGAGTCCTTGGACCGGCGCGCGGCCATGATGGCCGCCTCGTTCATGAGGTTCTGGAGCGACGCGCCGGAGAAGCCGATGGTGCGCGCGGCGATCTCGCCGAGGTCGACCTCGTCGCTGAGGGGCTTGTTGCGGCAGTGCACGCGGAGGATCTCGACGCGGCCGTCCTTGTCGGGGAGGTCCACGGGCACGCGGCGGTCGAAGCGGCCGGGGCGGAGGAGCGCCGAGTCGAGGATGTCGCCGCGGTTCGTCGCCGCGAGGACGATGACGCCGCTGTTGCCGCTGAAGCCGTCCATCTCCGTGAGGATCTGGTTCAGCGTCTGCTCGCGCTCGTCGTTCGTCGCGAAGCCGCCGCCGCCGGACCGCTGGCGGCCGATGGCGTCGATCTCGTCGATGAAGATGATGCAGGGCGCGTTCTTCTTCGCGTCGCCGAAGAGGTTGCGGATGCGCGACGCGCCGACGCCGACGAACATCTCGACGAACTCGGAGCCGGACGTCGAGATGAACGGCACGCCGGCCTCGCCCGCGCAGGCGCGCGCGAGGAGCGTCTTGCCCGTGCCGGGCGGGCCCTCGAGGAGCACGCCGCGGGGCGTCTTCGCGCCGACCTTGGTGAACTTCTCCGGGTACTTGAGGAAGTCGACGACCTCGACGAGCTCGAGCTTGGACGAGTCGCAGCCCGCGACGTCCTCGAAGGTCACGCCCGTGTTGGGCTCCATCTCGATCTTGTTCTGGTTCTGGAGCATGCCCATGGGGCCGCCGGGGCCGCCGCCGCCCATGCCGCCCATGCCGCCGCCGCGGCGGTTGAGGAGGAAGAGGCCGCCGAGGAAGAGCAGCGGGGAGAGGAGGTTGCCGACGACGGAGCCGACGCCCTGGAGCGGGTCCTGGGTCGGGGGCTGGACGGCGAACTGCACGTTGTGCTTGCGGAGCGCCGCGAGGATTTCGGGGCCCTCGGAGGGGAGGATCTCCACGCGGTGGCGGCCGCCGTCGGCGTCGACGGCGACGAGGGCGCGGCCCGCGTCGTCGAAGGTCACGCGCTCGACGGAGTCCTTCTCGACGGCGTCGAGGAACTCGCTCAGGGCCCAGGGGCCGACGGGCGCGGCCAGGGCGGAGCCCGGCAGCGTCGCGGCGGCCGCGACGAGGCTCGAGCCGAGCGCCCCGGCGACGCCGCGGCGGGAGACCGCGGACATCGCCGTGGACTTGCGCGCCGAGGCGCGCGGGGGCGCCGAGAACGGCTTGAGGGGCGCCTTGGCGATGAACGCGTGGACCTCGATGGAGCCGACGAGCGCGGAGGCGGCGATCGCCTTGAGCTGGAGCTTCATGGTCGCGGTGTGGGTGTGAGCTGCGATGGGGGCGCGGGGGTGAGCGCGGGAGCGGCGGAGGGGTCGAGAAAGGAGGGGGCCGCGGGGCGAGCTGGCGGGGTTCAATAGCCGAGTCGCGAGGCCGCGAAAAGTAAGGGAGTCGGGTGCCAGGGCGCGCGCGCGACGGTGCGTGCGTGTCTCTTGGAGCCGGCGAAGAGCGTAGGGGACGGTGCGGGGCGTGCTCCGGTGCAGCGCGCGGGCGCCCGGGCGTGCGAAGACGATATGCGCTCGGCAGTCGAATTTGGCCGCTCGATTCCTCGTTCGTCGCGGCGGAGCGCCCGCGCGTCGCCCGGTGCGGCGTAAGGGCGGGGAGGGGACGGAGGTAGTGGGGCAGAAGAGCGCGGACGCTGCGCGCGCGCCGAGGTTTGATGCGCTGGCCGCTCGGGTGGGCTCTGTCTCGGGCTGAGTCTGATCGAGCCACGTCGGAGCTCAAGCAGCCACGCGCGGGGGTCTTTTTATTTTGCGCGTGTCGAGACATTCAACGTTGACACTTGCTGCCGTCGGGGGAAATGGGCTTTGGCGGATCCAAGTACGGGCCCCTGCGCGACGGTCCGGCCCCGGGACGGGGGGCGGGGACGGCGGGCACGGGGGTTCCGGCACGGTAAATGCGCTCAGGGCACGACGCCTGGCACGCGGCCCGGCACGGGCCCGGCACGCGGCACGGCACTCGGCACGGGCCCCCGGGCACGGGCCGGGCACGGGCCACGCGGCCCGGCACGGGCCCGGCACTCGGCACGGGCCCCGGGCACGGGCCGGGCACGGGCCGGGGAGGCCCGGCACGGGCCCGG